GAGAGGACTCAGCTGTGGGATATGTGATGTACTTGCATGTTAACTAACTGGGACATAGCTCTAGGATATGACATGGTCCAATTTAGCTATTGTGCTCTGTATGCAGGGTGTGGGCCAAGATTGCAACAATATAAAACTTTTATATTCCCCTGTGTGAAGAGGAGGTTAGGGTCATAGGGATGGGATATTTTGGTTTAAATGATAAATTCAGAATGTATAGATATATTTTGTGTTGACAGTGGTTATCTGTATCGAAAATTATGAAAATATTTATAATATTTGTACTATGCAATCCTCTCATGATTTTGTCTTATAAGTATAAAACATGATTGTATGCACATAAAACAATTTTTTTTGTAATAATTTCTTTGCTTTCAGAGATTCCTAGTAAGCCAGTGGAGGATAAGGTGTCAACTGTTGAAGTGTCTACAGCTGAAGAGGAGGTATGAAGGTTACTTTTATGAAAAATATATATGGTATATATATTTCTGTGCATTTCATGATAGCTGACAAAGTAGTTTATTATTTGTGCCTTTCATGTTAAAAGTATATATTTCTGATACGATTTTCATACATTTCATCACACAAAAACAAATAATAGCATTCCATTTCTTATACACTTTTTAAAATCTCAATTAATTTATCCTCCAAAGAAGATAAAGATGTTCAAGTAAAATCAGACTTTCAGAACATGTGAGCATCTACAGTTCTTTAGAAAGTTTCAAAACTGGATAATTTTACAGGAGATGCAGTGTGAAATATTAACAGAGGCTATAATGGAGAGTCTAGATGAAGCAGCAAAGAAATTAGGCAGAGTTAGAAGTAGGTAGAAAAGAAGGATGGAAGTTACTTTGTTCTTTGGATTTACTGTTATGACCATTCACTGTGATTTTATTATTTTCAAATTTCTTCTTTTAAGAAAAAATATAATAGAAATGATGATTGATTTATGATTTCAGAATTAAATGTGGCAGTGGTAAAGAAAATGCATAGCATATGGAGGTAAGCAAAGATGTTTTCTTCAATGACATAAACACTTGATTTGTTTGTGTCCAAGTAATATAAGCCCATCCATATGTGTCTTTTTTATCAATTGCTTTGTCTTTGAACATCCTTATTTCTTAGCACTAAAGTTTTAGAACTACTGGGTTATGTCAATAAATATTCTCAGGAGGGAACAACTTTACTAATGAAAGTTATGAATTGAATTACAATGTAGTGAGGTCAAGGTAGTGGCTACAATTCAGGAGTTAAGTTATGGAAAAAGCATCATAGATTTTTTTATATGTCCATTCCATTTTTATTAATTGATGAATTGACTGATTAATGTTATTTATTTATTTTTAATTAATGAATTTATTTTTATTTACTTTATTTATTTTAATTAGGGGAGAATGATTATTTAGTATACTGTTGTGCCACATCAGAATGGAGATGGCTTTTCCTTTCAGGGTTCATTTAGAGTTATTGTAATTATTTTTTATTTTTTACCTACCTTTTTCTTGAAGGTACACACTTGAGGAAGGAAGGCAGAGTCATCCACCAAGTGTCATATCAGCTGCCTTTAGTAAGCTTGTGGAGAGGCATCACATGAATGGCAAAGGTAAAGGTAATGATTTTGCTTTAATAGTTTCAGTGAATGCAGCTTGACATTGGACAATTCTTTTGAAATTCTGTGTAATGCAGTGGTTTGCAAACAAAAAGTTGTACTTTGTCGTAATTAGTCTTCGTAATATCAAGCATGTACATCATAACCCAAAACTGTGAAATGTCATGCACATGAAAAGTAATTTTTTCAAATGTTTCTGCAGTACATTTTTTGAAATTTCAAAAGCCTTGAAGTTTGTACGTGGAAATTTATTACTGAGCTTTAAAAAAAAACAGGAAAATTGAAGTCAGCAAATGAAAACACAGATACTGCATGCCTTTACATGTGCAAACTTACCAAGGCGTGTGAGATGTTGCCCACGGCCTATTTTCGTATTACGAAGCCTAATTATCATATTTATAGCATTTTTAGGGTGTGTATGTGCCATTTCTTAATTGCATGTATGATTTAGATGTACATATTTTTTTAATGTTTGTGTTTCTATGCTGTTTTGTTGTATAAATATTTGATATAATAAATAAAATTCTTTTTCTCTTGCAGTTGACCCAAAGCCCAAGAACAAGTGCAAGAAGGCTGATGAAGGATCATTGAGAACTCCTACATCAAGGGATTACTTGCAAGCAAAGCATACTTCCGATATAAGACTGCCACAGACAAGTGCTATAGAATCAAAAGAACACTCGGTTCTGGATGTTACATTAAACACTGAAAAAACTATCATTAGTCCAAGGGCTTTACTAAAGCAGTATGAAAATAAGTTGGATCTTACAAATTCAGATAAACTGAAAGACAGTATGCATATTAGTGGAACAGGAGAAATTTCTCTTGAACAAGAAAATATAAATAAAGATAGAATGGAGTGTAGTGGTTTTGCTCAAGCAAAGGAACATAAAGATGTCTCTGCAAATTTAGAGACAATAACTGACATTACATCACAATGCCATGCTAAGGGAAGAGGTATAAGAACACCAAAATTTCACAGAGCTATGAGTGCCAGTTGTCCTAAGACTGTAGTAGTTAATCCTATAAACTTCTTACAGCGATATGAAGAACAGTCAAAGGAACAGCCAAGGAAAGATCATTGTGTGAATACAGGTTATGAATCCCCATCCTCTTCAGTAGACTACTTCATGCAAGTATTGTCAAAGAATGGACAAAGACAAAAGTCTTTAGATTCTAATGTTCGTATGAGCAGGACAGATGAATACTGGAGAAGTAAAAATAGTAATAATTGTTATTTTCTGGACACAAGACAAGATGAGTTAGGGGATGGCAAGATTAATGAAGGAGAGATTTGTAAGATCAGAGAAGGGTGTAACGGTAGGAAGTGTATGACAAATACTGGAAGCAGAATATCTGCTGAACAAGCAAAATTTGAATCCGATAATTCAGCCATTGTGGACCGGTTTTGTTATCCACCAGATGCCTTAGTTCAAAAAATGAGAATTGCACCTAGTCATTCAATCTGCAATTCATCTGTACCACACTTTTCATTAAATTCATTTTCTCTTTCTCATCCAGATGATTCTCATTTCAATGTTATTTCAAGTGATAAATATGCATCCAGTTCAGTTCTAAACAAGCCTGTCATGCAACCAATGTCACAAATACAGGATATATATCAAAGGCATATTCCTTCAACTGTAAGTATGGCCCACAGTAAACTGGATCATAGGTTCCTTACTGACCATCCTCCAGGGGATCCAACACTCAGAAACATGACTCAGCCCAAGGAATCTGTTTTTTCCACAATGAATGATCATAGACAGGGCAGTGGAAGGCCCCCATTTATGCATACTCAAAGTCATGCATGTTGTAAAAATAGTGAAGGGGCATGGCCATTTCAGGGGGATTACCAGTATGGGAGTACTTACAATAGTAGAAGACAATATGTTCCAGAGGGAGCCCCTTATCCATTAACAGGATTTAATTATGATTTAAAGTCAAAGTAAGTATTCAGATTTTCTTTATAGTTTTAAACACAATTTTGTATTTAACTTGAAAAAGTGTAAGCTTTATGATACATACAGAAGAGATTTTCCAGCATTTTGGAGATGAGCCATGCAGCGAAGGCAGTAGCCAGAATTCAAGTTCACAGGAGGTAACAAGACTTCAGCACCCCCACCCTCACCCAACAGGCAAGAAACATGCATTACACAGTTATGATTTTCCATATATTGGTCAGAGACAGCTAGATTTTACAAAATGTTTGGTAATGCCTATTAAAAAAAACTGGTTTCTTATCAGCGCCCCCATATGAAAATCGCTGCTGCATTAAAAGAGCCTGTCGTTTACAAAATGTCTTCATATTCACTTGTGCAAAACACAACCTGACAGAACATTTTGCGAAGTATTGTGTGGTAAACAGGGCGAGAGTTGAAATAGTTCACTTCACCTTGCGGACCGTTTGTAAACGACCAAAATGGCTGCCACTTAGAGCCTTAAAAGTATATCTGTCTGAACAGCAACATGTTTCAATTTACCTTTTTATCTTTGTTAGTCACTAAAATGGAAAGTATGTACCAGTGGCACCAGTGTGTATTGCCCTGAGAAGTCACCACTGATGGAATCTGTTCTTAAGCTGTAAAACTATCAAAAAACTCAAATGCACTATGTATCTACCAATTATTACTTTTTTTTTTTGTTTAAAATTCTAAAATTACATTTTTGTACATGCAGAGTTGTCCAATTTATTGGCATTGCCTGTGAAAAGTAATCCTATTTTGGCCTCGATGAAACAATAATAATAGTAATAAAAAAAGGTGTGCTGCATTTGAATTTTGAGAAAGTTCTGATGAGAAACCAGGAATTTTTTAAATCAACCTAATTTAAGAGGGGAAAAATTTACATTTAAATGCTCTTGGTACTTACTTTATTGTGTTACTCTTTATGTTGTTGATGCATTAAGGTCAGCAAAATTGAGCATGAAAATGTTGCAGAGGACTAAAAATTGCAATTGTCAGTGCAAGAATAATCTGCAGACATGAATGGTAATACCACAAATAAAGCGAAAAGATTGTGGAAAACACTCCTCAGGACTTCAGAGTTTCAGCTCTTATCTTGCTGTGTACACAGAATGTGTCTCTGGTGTTTTATCAATCTTCCCCATGGGCACGCAGTCATTGCAACTTAGACTGTTGAGTAAATTTTTATGCCATGGAGTTGGGTACTTATGCAAATCACTTCTTGACACAATTTTCTTATGCTAGATTTTTCACAATTGTAGGAAGTTTTGACATAACTTTAGAACTGTCGGTTTCAAAAATACAACATTCTTATCCTCTAGCCTTATTTTGCTATACCAGTTGATTTTTTGTGATATTATTCTCTAGTAGGGGATATTGTACTTCGAAGAGTGGATTCCACAATTCCTTTAAAGCATATGATTATTAGTGTCTTTGTGTGCAAGCAAGCATTGCATATGGCTTATTTGTATTTGGCAACCTTAAGCAATTGCTACTGTACATTGCATTGTATCATTAGATTATGACTCAAACAAGATTTTCATTAGCTTTTTTTTATAGAAAACATGCAGAATAGTGTGGAAAATCTGCTTCGCCAGAACTGACTAGAATTTTGCTTTTTGGCTTTATTATTCATTTTTTACATATGGCTAATTCACACTTGAGTTTTTTCAGTAATAATCATTCATCAAATGAGGGTTTTACTGTACTGTGTAATAATAAAAACTTGAAATTAAAGAGAACAATGAAATAACATTACAAAGTATTGACAGTCCACAATAGTTGATGCTTATATTTAAAATGAAGTAAACATGTTTATGCACATTGTATTAAAAGAAATGTGTTTCATTGGAAGAAAAATGTGTCTAGGTATATTACTAGGGGCAGTTTTATATTAAGCTCATAGAATAGTATTTATGATCCTCAAGCCTCTGAAACAGGATGGTAAATACCTTACGAAATTCTATAGGTAAAAAAATCCAGTCTTGATTTTTAAAACGGAAGTTTGTTTTTTAAATAAAGTAGTAATATTAGTAATTTTATCTATACTAACATATTGGATCTGGTTTCCCCACTGTCTGCACATGGACAAAAAAAAAAAATCTTACTTGAGTACTTTGCAGTTTTTTTTTTTTTTTTTTTTTTTTTTTTTTTTTTTTTTTTTTTTTTCCATTTTCCAATGTCTGTACTTATCATCTTATGCTGTATCAAGATGGTGATAAACTGATTTCCTTGAGCGGATACCATATTATGTCTGTTTTAATCTACAACTCTACCCAGTCACAGTGGCAATAAGTAATATAGTATTATGTCCTTTTTTTATAATTTTGTATTATTCAATTTTCTGTAACACATCTTGCACTGGTGGTCATGGTGGGCAGGAATAGGATCCTGAGTATGGAAAAAGTATCCTCCTTGGAGCCTGTGCTCTTCCAGCCATGGCTCACAGATGGTATATTTCACCCTCATTTACTTGTGGAAATACTGCAAGACCCCCTTCCTAAATGCCCACTGAGTCTAATACTCCTCCAAGATCATTAGGCATATATAATGGGTGATCCCTGTCACCCTGGCTCTCAGCAGAATTTTCATGATGGCACATTCCCATCACCCTGGCCCTCAGCCAATTTTTTAATTGAAGGTACATTCCCTTCGCCTGGCTGTCAGCCAATTTTTTTGTATGACATCATGGCCATGTCATCTGTATCCAATGAGTTAATATCTAGGGTTTACAAGAATGAGTGATTTAGCAGAAAAAGATGAAATGGGGTGTGAAAAAAATAGTTTCATTTTTCTCATAGGGCTTTATGTATCAATTGTTTATTGGTTGCTTACACTCATGTACAGAAGGGATGGTAATGCAGCTTGTGTGAGAGACTGGTGGATCACCGGGAACCACAAGAGATTTGGCCACCAAATAGTCACTGTAATCAGGTATGGTTAAATAAGTAGGCACATATTTTTTTCTGACTTTTTGTTTTTTTATATTAGGCAAATATTTCAATATTATATTAATACTTCAGTAAAAACAAGGTATTTGTTGAAATTTTTCCATCTCCTTGGACCAGTAGTATTATTTATTTTGCCTGGCTAGCCAATGATTCCAATTATATATTTGCTAATAGCAAAAGTTTTGAATAGTAGTGCAATTTCTTCCCCAAGTACTATTTGCTTTGTGGGATTACTTTCTCCAGTACCATCTACTTTGGTTTTAGAACTTCTAGGTCCTAATTATATGCTGAATCATATTGCAAAATCTTGTAACTTTTTTGCTTAATCAACGTTGTTATACTAAGTAGGGTATATAATTTTGTAGATTTTTATATGACAAAGAATTGTGTCTCTATCTTTTAAGTATGATTGTAACTGTTGAAAGTAAAGGAAAACTTAATTATTGAATTTGGCAATGAGCAGATTTATCAGTAAAGTCAGGCAAGGACACGTGGTAATTTTCTTTTCCGCAGACCAAATAAAGCTTGAATATATCATTCTTAATTAAGTAGTAGTTTTTTTCTCATTTCTCTTCTGTGTAGATTAGTTATTGTAGAAGGATGAAGAAACAATAAGTAGTGACAAAGACAATATTAGATTTTTTTTTTCTTTGTATGATCTGAATTAAATTTTAGTTACAGCTTGGATATGTATATATATTTTTTTTTCCAGATTACCAGTCGGTCAGAATTCAGCCCCCCCAAACTATGTGTAGAAAGTAATCCTTCTCCAGAAGAAAGGTTTTATAGACGTAAACTTTATTAATCACTCTATCTTTCATAATTCTGCATAAGTCATCGGTATATTCTCATTTTCCTCAAATATTTGGATAGGATTAAATGTTGTATGTCATCATGCTAGAATTTATACGTATAGTAATATGTATGTAAACCCAAAGTTACCTGCTGTAGCTACAACTAAAGGAATTCTCATTATCATTACTTGTGTTTATAGATGCCCTAAGTGATATATATTGTTAGAGATAAAGTTTATGAAAATACATTTATCTTGACTTTCAATACAACAAACTAGATGGTTGTTACTGTGTGCGACAATCTATTTTTATTACCTTTACCAGGACAGTTCCAATTTTGTGATTTGTTAATAAAATGATACTTTACTAACAGCCATTTATTATACTCTCAACACTGAAACGTAGAGCTCTTTACACCTAAAAAGCCAGTGAAAGGACAGTACAGAAAACACAAGTACAGTATACTTGGGATTTGGATTCAGTCATTGAAGTTCTACGGCAGGTCATCTTTCTAGTGTCAGGAATTTTCAACAAGGGCAACAAATCAGCTGTTTACCATAGAAATCATAAGATTGACAATGCCTGGAACCAGATAATGAACCTGTTGCTTTAAATAATTGATAAAAACCATATCTGTAACTATGAAATCTACCAGCACAAACACAGAATGAACAATTAACTTCATAAAATTATCACAGGAACAAAAATTAAAGTCTACAGGAACTATCTATATTCAACAATATTAGTTTCATTTCATGGTAGGATAGTAGGCTTTAAGATAGAATTACTGATAGAAAGTATATCCAATGTTTTTCTTCTTTTATATTTAGCGGCAAGTATTATTACTTGGCTATATCATTATAGAACTAGACATTTTAATAAGTTTTGCAAGTGAGACACTCCAATTTATGGTCTTTTTTATCACTGTTATAGATAATAGCATAGGCTGAATAATTAGAAAATAAATCATGAAACCAATATATAAAAGTATGAATATGAGCTGAGGTAATACAAGTAATACAGGGTATATATATGCATATTTATCAATCCACCTTAAGTACACATATGTTCATTTGAATGTTACTTATATAAAAGAAAGTGAGTAGCCTAAGTACTAAATCATTAAGAAACAAAAAAATACTGTGTGCAACAACAAGTGTGCAACCATTACTTCTTTATACAGTATAACAAAAAGCAATGCCCTAGAACCAATAAAGAGAAGAGAGTCTCACTTTGTCACCAAGTTATCCTACCAGTAAAATTAGACCATGCCTTCAATTTGTGCTTTCACTAAACCTTCTTAAACTTTTCTGAAAGTGTAAGAACAAGATGATGACCTACCCAAGCATTCCTGTATAAATTTGAATGGTAACAAAAGCCATTACCTACACCTGTATCTTTTCATATGGCCTCTTGTTTCATGTACCTTTAGTTACTTGCTCAAAATGTTTCATGTACTGACTGCCCTTACAAACTAATATTTGTAGATAATGATTCTGCTAGCATCACATCCTCACATCAGCTGTGGATATGCTTCATCATGTCTCAACACCTTCATTTGTGACAAAATTTTCTACCCTAACATCTTTCATCTCAGAATTACAATTTGGCATAACAATATCATATTTGCAAAAGGAGCTGCATTAGTCCTATCGTATTAGAATTCAGGCTGAAGACTCCTTACAATCTCTGAATAACGTGATTCATTATTTCCCAATAAAATATAAAGAATTTCAGTGTTTGCCATATTATTCTAGAGATCTAGAGTGAGGAGTCAACAATCCGTAAGTGTTCAGAAATATGCTTGTTCATCAGTGGTAACAAAAGTCCTACAAAACTAGTTGACAGTTGTATGTCATCTATAATTATTTGAAACATATCAGAGTGACATATTTCTATATGAAGAGCATATATTTTTTCCTCTCTCTTCTTTTTGTTCACATATAAAATGCCTCTTTAACAACCACAATATTGCTAGAGGTTTCAGAAATATGAAGCCAAGAGACTTACCAAATGTCAAACAGGTGAAGGTCATGTTACCAAATGAGTTACAAGCTTTTCAGAATGAATTATTACGACAATGATGATTACGTGAAGTATGAATGATTAATTGGCTTTTAAAGAGGAATCACTGGTTGAAAAGAGGAATCCAAGAATCCTTACCAATATCAAAGTCAGCATTTATGATCATAAAAGGTCATTATAATATCCCATATAAAGGAGACAAATTTATGAAGAGTTCTGCTCCATTCAAATAATATCTGTGGTGCTCTGAGCATGAACTGAACACCCTGCACACATCTTGTATAGAGAAACTAAAGTAATTAATCTGCATGTAATCTCAAATGAATAAGTTGTTGACTATCTGCAGTTTCATTACTTAAATAATATTCAGTGGATTTTTTTGTGGATTAATAAAGGCCATTTAGCAGTTTGAAAAGGTTTGTACAAGCTGCATATACTGTCAAATGAGCTGACAGGGAATTTTAGTAATTGTTTTTATCATACAGTTATTAATTATCATGAATATAAGCTTATTGGTTTCTTGATAAAAATGGAGTATGTATGCATGGATATATGATTTATCAAAACTACAAGACTATGGCTAACAAAATGGAATAAGGAAATTTTTAAGTATATTAAAATATAGAAGTAGAAGAAGAATATTTCCTTGACAGTCAT